ATAGAAAAGAGAACCTTGCGCAAGTGCATGCTTCATCTTCTCTATTACGACGTAGTTCTGCACGCCTCACCGCTTCAATTATAGCTGGTGACTGGCCCTGCTTAAGAGCTTCTGCAACTGTCAGCTCAGCTGGTACCTAAAGTGATAGCGCTAAGTCAGTGGAAACTCGAACTGCTCATTTTTTTTTTGAAAAAAAAAACGCATACCTCAGCTTTGAACCTCTTGGCAAGCAGCTCTGCTTCTTCTTTAGAATGTACATCAACGGAAAGACGCTGGAAACCATAGTATAAAACAAAAACAAAGATTCGATCTGTTTACACTCTAATAGCACAAACCTTTGCTAAACGTCTATCTGGGAGTGCTCCCAGCAAAAATGGGGCTGAGTTTGTGTTTGGAGGCAATCCAAACAGGGGCTTTGTTGGATCATTGAATGCTAAAAGCACCTTACGTAGAAATACTAGCATTAAGCAACGGGGGAGTTTTACATTAAATGAACTCACAAAACACTTGTAATCGTTCATAGAAAAAACTGACTTTTGTGCTTAGATGAGGGAGAAGCAGGTGCTCCGCCAGGAGTGAGGCTGACTGCCGACGAATTAAGCAACCTAGGATCTTTCAAGGTAAATCGGTTTCCGCGACTTACATCTCCTATAACCACATATGAGAACGAGATGTAAACGGTGTATCAAAGATGTTCAATATGCTGACTCAGATGTTTTCCACAGAGAGGCGGCGTGTGGATGTCGGTACACATAAGATGACATATACTGCAAGGCACAAACAGAAATTGGCGATCGTCCAGCATTTGATCTGATAAATAAAGCTCTAAATTCGCTCCAAGAACGATTTATAACTCGAGAGCAAGCAAAACTTTGGTTCAAAGAGATAAAGTGCTTGAAAGACTTGTGAAATTTAATTGGCAGCTTATTTCAATAGTTTGAGCTAATTTTCGGTAACTTTTGCATTGGCTGAATGGAATGAGCTTTGAAATATGCAACAGTTTCAGCATTAGTTGTGAAACTTGGGAGCCTACAGTAACATATAGTTTGATAGCTTGA